AATATAGCCACTTTGCCTTTTTCAAGTGTAGCCAGTCAACGGGCCAAGTGTCAAACATCCACATCTTAATTACAATATATATATATATATATATATATATGCAAATTACATATCATTGCAAGCTTTATTCCCCTTCTCTTTTTCCATTTCAATTGTTTAACCTCTTTTTGAGTCAAAAAAATTTCAGAAAGCCCATAAAGGGGGTCTAAAGCTTTTGTAAAGGTATGTCTAAGAAGAAGACAAAGGCATTGTCTCAGCGGAATATATGCTTTATCTCAAGCTTAAAGAGAGAGCCATGAAAAATCCAAAACAAGGGCATCGCTTTGCTTTCTGTAATATCACCCCCTTAACCACCATATAAAAATTTCCTTATTCTGTCTGATTTTTTTTTTAATAGCTTTGGTATAATTACCCACACGTTTTCTATCTTTGTTAATGCTCAGCCAGTCAGCCCAATGATTCAATGACTTTTGCTTATGCATATTTCAGTTTCCATCTAAAATCACTTTGATCAAAGTTTTATCCTTTGGTTCTGTCAATATGAGATCTTTGATGGATCATGTTCTTCACACAATCAAAAAAGAAAAAAAGGTTCTGTCCCAAAAATCTAGAAAAAAAAAAAATAGAGAAAAGAAAAGCTTTGTTTCAAGGATCATATATATGAAACATATAAGACAGACCAGATTCTTTTTCTTTCAACATATTTTCCTGGGTAAAAGGCCAGATAATAAGACATGAGAAATTGAAGAAAAAACCACATAGCTGCTGCCGGTGCTTTGGAGGAAGAATTTGGTGGGTAAAGAGCTTTACGTGCGTGCTTTTCAAGACAACAATGGGTTCCACTCTTTGCTTCTTGCTTCTCAGCAGAATTTGAACAAAGTTTCCATGGCATTTCTTGTGCAACAAAATGCAAATTTTATGTGATATGACGTTGGAAAAGAACGAAAGAAATTGAAAGATAGATAAAAAAAAAAAAAAAACCTTTGAATAAGTGTATGATAAGAGAGGAAGACATAATAAAAACAAAACTAAAGGCTTACTGATTGCATTGGTTGATAGAATTATTATAGATGATTTAAATATTTCAAAAGCAAAGTTTATTACTTTTTTACAAATGATTTGTATTAAGCGTAAAACTATTCTTTCCTTTTACATTTTATTTTTCAGGCAAACGATCTTAAACAAAAACAATCCAATCAAGAAAAATCATTGGATTTTACTGATTGACGTCTTTTTTCTGTTTTTTTTTTTTTTTTCTTTTTTCTGATCCAAGGACTCTTTAAGAATTGGGCTAAAATATTGGGCCTTTTGGAAGCTTATTAAGGACCACCAATGTTTTGAATTTGACACAGCTCAGCTAGCAGTTCTTCATTTTTGCATGCCTGATATCTTGGGCTGGAATTGTTATTCTGGTCTAATCAACTGGAGGCTTAGTGACATTTTCTTTTTCCATTTGACTGGAATCTAAAGCCCAGTATGTTATTCTTATCTGACGAGAAAGGGTTCACCATTTTTATACAAGGCGGCCCAGG